CCAAGTGCTTAGTTAGTAAACACTCGTTCATATCAGTTTATGTAGTTTATGTGATACTGTTTGACTTGACACGGTTTAAGAAAGAACGAATACACTTGAAATTTGTAGTTTGAAACATGTTTCGACATTCGACCATGTGTGTGGCGGCTATAAATTATTTCAGTAAGGGGGAAAGGGGTATTGTAAAGTTAAATTGTTGTTAGATAGGGAGTATTGTTGTAATGAAATCTCGAGGATTTGAAAGCTTAAACGCCTATTTACGAGTTATGTTGTTCGGAGTCCTAAAAGTGCAACTAGGAGATGTAGTGCATTTTTGGAGGATGATTCGATATGGCGGTGACGTTAATATTTTGGAGGGTCGGAGAAACATAGTTCACAAGTCCATGATAACAAAAATATGTTTATTTTTTTCCTAGTTTGGGCTAGACACAAGTCACTATCTTACCAACCTACAAAAAGGATGTCTACAAAATGTGTTAAAAGCTTAAGCATGCTATTGGCTTTCCTGGTTTTGTTTATACTCTTTTTTTTTTCCCTTTTCCCTTTAAACACTTTTTATGTTTAGAATCTTGACTAAATATCGTCAGCTCATATAATCTAATCTTCAACTCCTTTTTTTCTTCATGAAATGGCGGGATCGCGCTTTCTTGCTATAATTCAATCTACAGTGTACTTAGGTAAGTTCTTTTCTAGTCTTATAATTACATGTTTAACAAAGTTAAGCATAAAGTCGAGATTTTTATATTTTGAAATTTTTCGAAAATGATGAATAGGTGGATATGACAAAGAAGATAAAGCAGCAAGGGCATATGACTTGGCAGCTCTAAAGTATTGGGGTCCCACAGCTACCACCAACTTCCCTGTAATATATACTATTTATATACCTTATATTAAATTTTTGCTGTTGTTGTTTATGGGCATTTTCAATTATTGCATGGAAAGTGACATGACCATGAAAATAACAACTTGTGTCTAAACTTACTTAGATTTTATTTTTTCAGGTTACTAATTATACTAAAGAATTGGAGGAAATGAAACACATGACTAAGCAAGAATTCATTGCCTCTCTAAGAAGGTTTTGCCTTGATTTATTTTCTAATTTCTTATGGTAAGTGCTTTCGTCTTTTTGTGTATCAATTATTCTTATCGGATTATGTTTTTCAAATATTTTCAGGAAAAGTAGTGGTTTCTCCCGAGGAGCTTCGATCTACCGGGGTGTGACAAGGTACCAATTTTGTTGAAAGTTATTACTCCCTTTGTTTCATTTTACTTGGCACATATAAGGCTAGTTTAGTAAAATGCTCAAGATTTTTTTTTTAAGGATTGTGCCAAGTCAACGTAGACCAAGTAAATATGAAATGGATGGTATACCTTCTTAAATTATTGTCAGTGTCGTATACCGATATTAGTAATACTGTGCTAAATTATGTAAGATCACATTTGACGGGTTCGGTTCATGGTGATTTTCAACACAATACATGTGGAATTTTTTCAGAAGTGCAATGGGGTTTGATAAGAACCTTAAAAGTTGGACGTGTCGAGATTAAAAAATGTTGCAGCTCTGTGAGACGGATAATTCTTTAATTCCTCGTTTCGTTAGTGGAAGTGACTTAACGTTTGATGAAAACATTGCAGGCATCATCAGCAAGGCCGCTGGCAAGCGAGAATTGGCCGAGTTGCTGGAAACAAGGATCTTTACCTAGGAACATTTGGTAAATTATTGTTCTTAATATTCAAACTGGAATTAGAACTATAAATGAATTTGGAATTACGCGTGTCTTAATGTTAATCGAAATCTGTATTATATTGTCAACAGCTACTGAGGAGGAAGCAGCGGAAGCGTATGACATAGCAGCCATAAAGTTCAGGGGAGTGAATGCAGTGACCAACTTCGAGATGAATCGTTATGATGTCGAGGCCATCATGCAAAGTTCCCTCCCAGTTGGTGGAACCGCTAAGCGTTTGAAGCTCTCCCTTGAATCCGAGCAGAAATCATCATCGAGCAATAACAACAACCACCAGCAGCAGCAGTTGACTCAATGCAACAGCACCAACAACATCAATTTCGGGGCAATGCCACCCGTCTCTGCTATCCCCTGTGGAGTGCCATTCGATAACACCACCCCTGCTTTCTATCACCACAACTTCTTCCAGTACCTCCACCCCGGCAATGCAAGTGTCCCCGATGTTTCCAATGCTACGACTACCATGGCAGCTGCAATGCCGTTGCTGCCCTCGGCTGCTGACCTCTTCATCTGGCCTCACCAATCCTATTGACCAACCTCAAAATGATACAATAGCTAGGCTAGCTAGTTTCTACTGATTAGCGAAACTCGACTCTTGGTAATGTGTTAGATCGTCTATTGTTTTTCGTACTGACCTCTTCTCTCTGACCCGTGATAACGTTTTAGTGTAGCGTTTAACTGGTATCCGGTATCGACAGGTTCAATGTTGTAAAGTGCCTTCAATTCTAAGACTTTATAAAGTAGTAGATGCAATGTTGACAGGGTACTTAGGGAGCACTCATTGTGGAAAAATTTTGCTTTCTTTTCCTCTAGGTTCCATAAGCTTTCTTGAGTTGCTCCCAAGGACCATATGGATGTTTTGCTAGTCAAATTGACATAGAAAAAAAAAGAAAATGATATAAAACTCTTTACATTTTGCAATTTGCCTGTTTTATTTGTTCTTCATTTGTTTTGTCATTCAATGATGTAGCATTTACAAATCCAACCTAATTTTTGGAGTGAAGTTTGGGGAGGGTAGTAGAGTGTACGTAAATGTATGAAGATTGTTCACGATAGATTCTTGGGATGTGTATGCAATCTTACCCTTGTCCTGTGAAGGTAGATTCTTGGGATGTGTATGCATTTTTACCCTTGTTGGTAGAAAGATTGTTTTCGATAGATGTTTGGTTTGTTTGCAATCTTATACTTTTTGATAGACGTTTTGTTTGCATGCAATCTTATACTTTTATGGTGAAGGTTTTTAGATAAACCCTTGGTGTATATGCAGTTTAATTTTTATCTTGCGTAATTAGAGAAAGATAGAGAAGGTGTTTACGGTAGTCTCGATTCAAATCAGGAAACATGTCATACTAGAATCGAAGAGTAAGATAATAAAAAGTAATATAACAACGCATAAAAAGGAAATCACACAACACTCGACTACTTACTAACCTGAATGTTCGATTTCATAATTACATATCTAGAATCACGACTCTGATAAGCTGCAAGTGTGTTATGTCTTAATCATTTATTAGTGTAACAAGGTTACAATATATTTTCAGCCATTTACATAATCACACTAGAAATTAGTGAATGAACACTAAATAAAGAGTTGTTAAATAACATCAACCTGAAATATCATGTAACTGAAAGTGTTTCAATAAATTTATCTAAATATCTTCTTCCTTAGATTTTTTATTTAGTTTAAAAGGAGGTCATTTCATTGCTTTTTTTTTCTTTTTCAAAATCATTTCAAAACAGGCTGCAGTAGACCTTACCCTAACCAAAAGATGGAAGTGAATTGGCAAATAGTCAACAAAAGACACTTATAATGTTTTGACAAGATTTTTCATGATTTAAATTGGGCTAGATATCAATTCAAATTTTAACGAGTTAAAATAGATAGGTAAAATGAGTTGAGTTAATAAATGAATGAGTTAATGCATTGCATCAAAAATGATTTTTAACGGCAATTAATTAACGGTAATAGCTTAATTGCCACTAAAAATGTATTTTTAGCGGCATTTAAAACTTTTTGTAAATGTCCCTAAAGTCTATAGCGACGCTGGATTCAATTACAACTAACTAATGCCGATAAAAGTTTTATCACTCTTTGTTAATGCGTATATTTATTATCGCTAAAGGTTATTTTTATTATAGTGATACTTAATCATAATTTAGACGGATTGGTCGAGTTATGATTTCATGGGTTGATTTTGTCATCTCTATGTATAATAACTAGCAAGTTGAGATGTTATTGAGATTGCATTCTGAAATTTTCAACTTGGAAGTGATGGATGTTATCAACTCAATCAACAAAGAAAAGTTGATGACCTTTTTAGAAGATATACTAGTTACATCATATAAGGTTTTTGATGTTTTGTCAGTTTGAAACCATACTTTGGCCCATTTCTCACTATGGTTATGAAACAAACACAATATAATATTGAAAAAAGATCACATATAGAGACAATATTTGTTACCTATTGGTCAAGATAGTTTTGTCCAATTTTTCAAAATGAGCTTTTTCCCTTTGTTTCTTTTGTGTGAGTATTGGGTCGCTAAAGTCCAATATATTCATACGATGATAAGTGTAATAGATATGCATATATGAAGATAGATATGCGGTCATAAGTATTAGATGACAGTAAATGTGATTGTGTTCGACAGAAAGTGTAAGTGCACACATCGAGGATAAAATGAACAAATGTCGTTTGAGATAATTTTTTCATGTTTTGCATTGACTTTCAGATGGATTGGTCCATAAATATGAAATCGTGGTGAAAGCGTTAAAATAGAGCGATATACACCTAGAACTACATATAATTAATAAATTGACTTAAAAGACAAATAGTCTCTTATAATCTTTGAAGGCCTAGCTAAAAATAGAGCACAATCAAAGAAAAAAAATACTTTATAGGCGATAACAACATGTTTATATGTTTATTTTTAGTTTCTAACTAAGATTAACGCATAATTGTTGTTATTGCTACAATATCAAAATAGTTATGTCTGATAATAATTCTACCTCCTCAAGTAGAGATAAAATTTGTATATACATTATACACTATTCTTTTCAGACCCTATTTATAAAATTAGGATATGTAGTTATTGTTTGCCAATTTGAGAGTATAATAAGAGTTCTTAATTGTATTCCATCTCTTCTCTCATACAATCTTATGAAATGTATGAAAATTAAAGGTACACACCAAAAAAAAAAAACAATTCATTTGAAACAAACAAAAAATATACAAGATGAAGAATTGGGCCGGTTAACTATCTTAATCGGCCCAATCTACCATGGGCCAGAACCAAATTAGGCTCAACCTTTAAAGCCTCTTCAAAAGCATTATGGGCCTCAATTTTCAAGCCCTTAATCTCATAACATTGGCCCAACAAACAAAAGGCCTTAGCCCGATCCGAACAATCCAATTTCAAAGCTTCAAATAGATCCATTAAAGCCGAATCAACCCGTCTCTTCCGGTTCAACGCCACCAGTAACTCCGCCCGTTTCAGCAGCGCATCGGCTCTTTCACCTTCGGACAACGACTTCACCGCCGGCGGAGATAAGGCGGAATCCAACGATCTTAAAGCGGCGAGTTTGTGTCCGATTAGATCGAGTGATAAGGCTTTGAGAATATGAGCTGCTGGATCTTTAGGATCGATCGATAAGGCTTTATCAGCTTCGCCGGCGGCGAGTTTAGCGAGATTGAAGGAGGTGGATTTTTTGCTCCGATTGGATTTTGCACGGGAGAGGAATTTGGCGCCTTTGATGAAATGGGAATTGGCTTGGTTTGTGGATCGGGTTTTTGATCGGAGTCGGGTTAAGGCTTGTTTGGGGAAATTGTAAATGGTACAGAAAATTCCGAGAGTGAAAAGAAGGATAGCTAGCTGAATCAGTATGTATGTTTCCATTTTTCTTTTTGGAGTGACAGCCAAACAGGACTAAGCTTTGAGCTTCACTAATTCTTGTGTTTTAATGGAGGACTGTATTTTTTTTTTGAGTTTTGGTGGTGGTGGTCTTTATTTTTGGAGGCCCATCGACAATTATAGGCCCATTGGGCTCAAGTAATTCGAATTTGTATTGCGTAAGACTCGTAAAAGAATCGAAAGTAGTTAATTTGGCATATTACCAAATTAGCCTCTATTGTTATACATTTAGATATAGGGATATTGAGAATACGTTTTAAAGATCAATAGTTAAGAGTGGTTTTGTTAGAATAGGCAATAATGAGATCATTGTTTTAGTTAATGATGCGAAGACGAGTTATTAGTAAAAATTGGAGGAATAAAATGAAAAAGATTCTATTTTTGCGAAGAGAACAAGATTGCTCTTTTTCCTCTTTCTTTTCCTGCCTTGTTATCTTTCTTTATAATTATTATCGTGAGGACTGAGTTGTCAAAAGAGTTTATCCCCCTTTTCATTTTGATTTCTTTGAAAGGTGAAAAAGAAAGAAGCTAGATCGAATTGCTCTTCCTCACAAGTCATTTTTTATTTAATTTGTCTAAATACTCAATTAGAAGCTTTACATTGGGATGGAGTTGATAGAATTACACTCGTTTTCTTAAAGATCTTCGTAAAAAGAAAGCACTTGCTAACAAGTTTTTTTGATATTTAGAGTTCAAACACTTTGTTTAAGGACGAAGGAATCTTATCAATTTGTAAAAGTAATGCATCTTAGGTATGAAGTATCAACTTTTCGATACGAATCTAAAACATCAGAAGAGGTCCTATGTGGTTTATTTTAGAACTTGAAGGGAGAAAAATAGAAAAGGAAAATAAATTAGTTAGTTTTGCTCTTTCCTTTTTGTTTTTTAGTTTCTTATTCGATGTTAATTCTGATTCATGCAAAGTAAAGCCTATTTAAAGGGAAAAGCGCTCGACTCAAACCCGAGACGTCTTATTAAGTGTGGAAAGTCTGAAATGAGCTGTTTCAATCCTTTTCCCATATGTTATAAATGATTTAATGAAGCACAATCACTTGGTTTTTACTGCATCAATTTTGTGCTGCAACATTTTCACATCCAAATATTGATACAAACTCAGATGTTTTTGATACTGCTTCTCATTGTTAAGATGTACAGCATCTCGAAAACTTTCAACCCGAAAAAACAGCTAGTGGAATAATACTGGATTGAGCTCTTGATTTTACAAGATATATGTACAAACAGAGAACAAGTAGAGGAATAACTAAGAGCAGCAGATGCAGAACATCGATTGATGATATCAAGATCAAAACATTACTCCATAACGAGCTGCATATGACGATTGAGATCCTTGAGATAAGTTGTGCTACTGTAATCTTCTAAATCACAAGCATCTAGCATCAATGCCCTTCCTCCTGTCGATTTCTGCTTCATGTCTATTGGTAAGTTCTCGCCTTTCAATAGCTGAACAGCCTGCATTGTCCAAGAATTTTACAATCATTCGAGCAAAATGAGATCATTTTGTACTATTCAATATCATTGTGTACCAAATTGTATCGATGTATTTGAAGTCAAATTCAAGTTAGGTTTTGTTTGAAATTCCTTTATTTCGCGGAAGGACAAGTTATCTAGATCACTAGCTCTATGACCAAGTATTGCAAGGTGTTCAAGTCTTCATGTAATCAATAAGTTAGGTTTCATTTGAAATGTCTTTGTACTTTAACACTAGGGTTGTAAATAGGGCGGGGTAAGGCACTAAGTCTTAACCAAGCAAAATTTTGACTCGGTCTACCCTGTTGTGTTTATCATATTTTGCTATTTTAGACCTGCCTTGCCCTACCATGCTAAGTCTTTTCCAATATAAGTTTTCAAGGTGTCGTTATCCATCTTTGTCTAGCTAGCTCATAACAACATGTTAGATTAGTGTACTTTGGAGTGGGGAGGGGGAGGCGAATAGTAACCTCCTTTAATTTGTGTAACCAAATCAAAATTTGGAAAATAGAAATGCTCGTAATGCAAGTATAGAGATAGTTTGCGAAGATAAGGACATACCCGTATCATGTTAGGACGCATGTTTGGCAAGTGGTGAATGCATGTAGAAGCTGTAAACATAGCTCGTTTCATCTCAACAACATCATAGGCATCTCCTAGACGAGGGTCCGCTAATTCCTTGATATTGTTCTGTTCCAGCAGTGGTTTTGCCTATGCAAAAATAACACCAGATATGAATATTTCATCCAAAAATGCAGAACAAAAGGGAAAATACGACAGCCAAACCAGACGCACGTCCAGGATTCAGAATGAGGTAATCTTATTTTACGTATACATTGATCAAGTCGAAAGTAATGGGTTCATTGAAGCCATACCGACATTACAAGACTCTGTCTGGATGAATCAACAGCACGACGACCAGTAATGAGCTCCAATAGCAGAACACCAAAGGCAAAAACATCGGTCTTCTCATGAACAATCCCGTGCATAAAGTACTCTGGTGCCATATATCTGAGAACCATTTTTGCCATATTTTAACAAACTAACACATCTAAAAAGGCAATCGAACTAAACTTTACATACCCGAAAGTGCCTTCAATAGGAGAAACAATATGATGAACCCATTTTTCTGGCAGCCACTTTGCTAGTCCAAAATCAGATATCTGCAGCAACACAACAACAAAGAAGAAACGTTCGAAAATCTCAAGCAACTGACATGAAATTATTCATTGAAAATAAAGTTTCGAAAGCTAAACAAGATTGAATTCAAACCTGAGGTTCATAATCTTCCGTTAGAAGAATGTTTGAGGCTGTAATATCTCTATGGATTATGCGCCTTTGGCAATCACAATGAAGATAACGTAATCCTTCAGCTACGCCAACCGCCACTTTATATCTTATTTTCCATTCAAGGCACTCTTCTCTACCTGAAATGCTGAGTTCTCCTTTTATCAGTCAAAACTACATCACTATTCCAATTCATCACATTACATTTCATATTCTACTAAATGATGTACTCTATACACACTCACAGAGTAAAATCCATTTGACCACCAAGACATGAATACTAACAAAGGGATTCATCAAAATGTGACATATGCGATTTGAACCTTATGAACTTTTGCAATTTTTGAACCACTTTTGCCACTACACAAAAGCCTTATCTTATTTCAAGAGGATTTCGTAGGATCGTTATCCTTAGTCCTAACCATTGTAGCATGTGTGTCTCCCAAGGCATAAGGGGCATGATGACTACATCATCCTCACCTTCCTCCAACTTATCACTAATAGTTTGTTTAGGGTTCCAAACTCAACAAAGGTAACTTAACACGATAGTTGTGCTCATTGTAGGACTTAACCAACCCCCTAATAAGTTTCAAAGTAATTTTCGACAAAACGGATTCAATTAAACCCCCTTATCTCCACCTAAATCCACCCCTAGTTGTAGTATGTTAACCACTTATTATGAGCAATTATCTATGCTTATCTTCTAAGTGACTTTATAAGTGTAAAAATTCTTTTATACTATCAACGTTAAACTCTTCGTTAGATGATACATGTCCAAGTAACAAAGCATTATACAAGAAGATCAAGATTAAGTGAGAGAGAAATACAGCACCGTGTAGTACGGAAGCGAGGCTGCCATGGTGCAAGAACTGAAGAACAAGGTGCAAACCACCATCAACACTAAAACCAATTAACTTAGCAGCATTAGTGTTGTTGATATGAGCAATGATTCCTAACTCAGACAAGAAGTCTCCAACTCTGTCCTCATCATTCTTTTCTTTCTTTGTTATTTTCTTGACTGCAACAACTTGACCATCTTGTAAATGTCCTTTGTACACTTCTGCATGTCCTCCTTTGCCAATTAAGTTATCTAATCACATTTTCAACACATTAAATTAGTAAAGTATTAGCATAAATTACCTACAAAGGAAGTTTATGTTGGCACCTTTTGTTTGAAGTTGCTTGCAGATTATGCTATCTAATTATAATTAGCTTGAAAGTAACATGTTTTATGCAGAATTGTGGGATTCTTGGCAAAGGCGAATTCAAGATTGGAAATTTGTGGATTTTTATAACAACGTCAATTTAATATACAATAGTAATTCCGTTCATAATCAAATAATCAATGGATTTCTTAATCCTACAGAGACCATGTGAACTTATAGACGACACTCTTGATCCGCCCCTGATTCTTGGACAATTATTTACTCTATTATTCGTCTTGAGTCAATGATAATGGCCTTATAGGTGCGGTCAGACTAAATGGTCAATGAAGTGATGAAAATCATAGAAGTTCAAATTCCAACAAACATAGAAAAAGCAAGGATATTCTTTTATAAAATGAGAAATTTCGGAGAGGTAGGGCATGTGACTCGAAACTTAATAGATAATTAGCTCGCCTTTCTACCTTTCTGCACTTAAAAATACCAAGTAAACTTTTTTTTCCCATTTATGTAAGCCTTGGTGAGTAGAGTTATCCAATATTTGTGTGTGGTGACTCGACGAAATAATAATTCTACACACAAACTGCCTCGAACATGACCTTTATCGACAAAAAAAGGAAGACAAGAAGCTGCTGGCATGTGCAAGATGAGTACACTGCAGCTGCTCCAGCTACATCAACTAGGCCTTACTTAAATCAGAAATTTTAATTCTGATGGGACTAATTGAAACATCAAGGCCCATACACAATAATAGATAAAATAATTGGATTCATGGTTAGTTGTCACTTGTCACTCTCTCTTAGGCATGGTTCAAGAATTCATATTTCTACATTTTCTTACAAAGATTACTAATTTGCCACCAATATTACATTTTAAAGTTTTTATAGAATTTGTTTAAAATTATAACAAGGGGTGTTTCAAAATATAAAAAAAGACTTTTAAGTATATATCTTTTGGGTTGGTAAGTGAAGCTAGTAGTCAAATGGTGTAAATAAGCAGGTCCCCACTAGTCCTTTTTGGGGTTTTCCACCTTATGTCTGATTAATTTAAATAAATTTGTGTTTAAATTGTTTATTCTGGTGATAAAACATTCCTTATCTCTTCAATTCTTAAGTTGAGGGTCTATCAGAAACAATATTTCTACTCTCATAAGGTAGGGATAAAATCTACGTAGACTCTACGCTTCTCAAATCTCATCTCATGAGATTATACTCGATATGTTATTGTTGTTGAAACTCACCTTATCATAAGAGATTACTAGTATTTGTCTTATCTTTACAATTCTTGAGTCGAGAGTCTATTAAAAACAACCTCTCTACCGTCACAAGGTAGGGGTAAAATCTCCACATACTCTATGCTCCCCAGATCCATTTCATGAGATTATACTGAATATATTATTGTTGTTGAAACTCACCTTATTGGAAGAGATTACTATATGTTTACATAATACCGTTCTTATCACCTCACCACGACCTTTGGTGGTGGTTCCCACAAGTCACTATCAATTTCACTTTTGTAATAAAAAAAAATGTTGAGCAGTCCATGTTTACTTTTTCTGCCTTGGGCCAAAGAAAAGTCTCAAGATCAAGTGCTAGGCTTCTTTGACTAGTGAATGAGAATGTGGGGTAGTTGAATTCCCCAAGAACCAACATTTTAAAACTATACTTAAATGTGAACTTTATTATTTAACAAAGACAATAGCATGCGGCCTTAATATGCACAAAAAAGTACTCTGCATATGTCCCATGCCTATCTAGGCTCCTGCTTAAAAAGTCAGTTTGATGCACAAAACATTATGTATTAACAAGATTATGAACTTGAGAAAATAGAGAGTAAGATGATGAAGACTGATAAAGATAAAGGACTCACGGTGAGTTCTTACATGTGATACCTATGACGGAAAATGGGATGATGAAATTGGATTTAAAAATAAAAAACTGACATGCTTCTAAGCTGATAAGATTTCGAAAAAAGGTAAAACATGACATGTTAAAGCGAACCCTTCAATAGGAAAATGAAGTACTATATAAAATTAGGCACAACTTCACATGGTTCACCTGTTTGTGAATTTGATGGAACATAAATGAAGAGACAAATTTTGAGATATGATCAAAATGAACAATACATATAAATTATGGGATGTGATAAATAAGTCGTTAATAGCAACATAATCAGTATATTTCCACTAAGTGGTGTCTGAGAGCAATAGAATAAACACAGACTTAATCTCTATCTTAATAATAGAAAGACTGTTTCTGATAGACTCTTGAGTCTCGATTCAAGGATAACAAATAAGCCTAGATAATGTAAAATTTTCTTTTTAATATATACTATTAAAAGAAAGGTGTAATAAAACAATTCATTGTATTTCTCTTGAACTTGCAAGCTAAATTCATTTTATTAATAATAATGAGTTACTAAATACTATGTATATACTACATGTAATTATAATTGGAAATTCTATGGTTTATTAGGAGGATAAGGATTTTAATGAATTCAAAATTTTGGGTGGAGTAGTAATAAAGTATTGTCTTTGTCAAGAAATTAATGGTCATAACCCTAATCCAACTGTCCCATGTTATCAAAAGCAATGAACTTTTTGGATTTTTAGTAACCCTACAATAATTTAAATTTAAATTTCTTTGCAAATGAATTTCATTTGGTTTAATTAGCATTTGCTATCATACAACACAAATTTATAAATGGAGTCCGGAGATGATAAGATATATCCATATTATTTTCCGTCTTATGAAGTAAAGGGGTTATTCCTAATTAAACACTCAGCTGAACTCAACATTACTAGTTTTTCCCAAAATATACTTTATTCTCTTTCAAATTTCAAATGAAAAATTGTCTATGTTTCTTAAACAAGAAAGAGTATATGAAAAAATTAACTAAAATAAATGAGCAAAATACTTGTTTCAATAACTAAGACAAAATTTTAGCAATAAAGCAATGTAAATTTCTTTCTTTTTTCATCAAAAGTAACAAAAGGTCCACATTTTATTGCTCCCATATGTTTTAGCATCCCAAGAACAAATGGGGAACATAGCAATTTTACAAAGAAAGGCACCTATACCTTTGAGCAAAGTTAATTTTGAAAACCACCCATAAAAAGTATATTAATAAAAAATTATAATAACACCAAAGTGTGATCTACCTATCAATAAACTAGAAAAAACCTATTAAAAAAAATACTCCCTCCGTTTCAAAAAGACTGCTTTCCTTTTTAGTCAATTTCAAAAATAACATTTTAATTTCAACTTTGCACGTGACATGTTTAAGGCCACAAAATTAAAGGACAATTTTGTATATTTGACATAACTTTAATTTAGGACCACAAGATTTAAAAGTCTTATTTATTTTCTTAAACTCCGTATCAAGTCAAACTAGATCATTCTTTGTGAAACAGAGGGAATACTTACTTCTTTTACTTCAAATTTGCGTGTCTCACTTATATTTTTATTTGTTTAAATTGGACAGTCTAATGCACTAAATTTTCATTATATATAAGGTTTAAAAAATAAATTCAAATTAGTCTATCATACATAATTTTATCTTATACTTCTGTAAGAAACTGTTTTTACAACTCGCACTCATAATCTCTTACTCACATAAAAATAACTTTATCAATTACACCAAAATTTCCCTCAAAGAAAATATATCACTTTCTCTTAAATATTACCCACGGCAAATTTAAGATTGAATGTGATCTTTGCCTTTTTTTCCACATACTAAAGGCCCCTCTCTTTTCCTTATTGCCTTAGCGCAGACAGGAAAATCAGCATTTCGAAAACAATTACGATAATACATCAATTCCTAATATTTAATATTTTCACTTCAATATCAAACATAACATATTCAAAATCTCACCAGATAAAAAATCATATCAATACTTTACATATATTTACTCTTAACACAAAAAAATTCAAAAAATATTACTATTTTTTTAATAACTTCACATTCAATCAAACTAAACCACATAAAATAAAATAGAAAAATTAACATCAAACATCCTACAAAATAGCTAAACTACACACGAGATGACTCAGACAACACCATTATTAAGTGTCACAAATTCATATAATTCAAAATTTCAAATTATTACCCCCAATTTCCAAAGCGAAAATTATAACAACAATAATATATCAAGTATAGTAGATATCAAGTACCAAATCAAAAATAAATAAATATCAAACTTCAATATGAATATCGAATACCTGGTGAGAAATTATCAGTAGCTTGAGCAAGTTCATCAAGGCTAAAATTCCTCCATGATGGCTTCGGAACAACAAAATCATGGCAATCAATTGTTTCTTCTTCAGCACTTCGAATTCTCGACAGTAATTTCCTCTTTATATTCTTCTTCGCTAGTAAATTTTCATATCCAATTAATAATGGAATCGCCGATAATCTCCGAATCGATTTTCTCTTCATCTGATCGAACAAATTCTTAAATCTCAACCCTTGCCCTGTTTCTTCTCCACCGCCGCCGTCGGAAACGGCCGGTTTTTCGCCGACGGGAGACGGAGATGAACCGAAGCTCCGGCTTCTTTCGCCGCTGCTTATACTGCTGTTATCGGAATCCGATGTACCTGATATGCGAATTTCCAAAACTGCCCTTGGCGATAACTGGTCGTTATCTTTGTTCTCATTTTTTTCACCTGATGAAATTGTAATTTCCACTTCTTCTTGTTCCTTTTCTACTTCTTGGGTTTTTATTTCTTCTTTCCCTCCATTTTTTGGAATTTGTACAACACTTTCACCTACAAAATAAAAAACAAAAAAAACATAAAATTTTAATAAATATTAAGTTTGGAATTCATAATTATAAGTATAAAGTGAGTTTAATTAGTCACGTAATTAAATATCTAAAATCAAATCTGTTTATCAAAGTGCTTCTTCGTTTGCTCAAAACGGTTCTATACAAAATAAAAGATCATTTCGTTCTATTTTTAGTAAAAGAGCAGAGGGAATTTGTATATTTGTTATAGAAGGTGCAGAAATATCTAGAACTGAATGCAAAACGTATGAAAAGACATCACATAAATCAATCACGTTTAAATTCTGAATCCACCTCTGTTTCTGTTTCTATGTAAAAAAAAATGTTCAAAAAAATTAAAAGGGGTTTATTATAAATACTCATAAAAGAAAAAAAGGGAAAGAAAGGAACCTTCCATGGTATATTTGGAGATGTTTTTGTTGTGTGAAACACAAATGAAATGAATCTAAGAAGCTTCTTCTAAAATTTCAAGAATTTTGGTTTGGAAATTGAAAAGGAATTTAGAAGAATTAGAATATATTCTATGAAGGTTTACATTTGAGGTTCAATCATGATTAATAATAATTCTTCTCCCTCAAAGAAAAGAAGAAGAAAAAAGAGAAAAATGGTATATCTTAGAGAAGTTGTGATTCTTTTTTCTTTGAACCTCAAATGTTGAAGAGAGGCAATAGAGAGAAACCGGCTATGTAGTACTTGGAATATTATTATGTGTGGTTTACTTACATTTATATGCTAAATGGAATTATAATATTATAATATAAGGTGTGTTTGGTACGAAGGAAATAAAATGTTTTTTTTTTTTTTTATGTTTTAATATAATTAATAATAATAACATATTTAATGTATTAGTAGAATATTCGATAGCTATCGTGATCCTGTTGATTTGGGGTAGAGTATAATACTAAAGGTCGTCGGATTTTCAGATGGTATTATATCTTTTGAGTCTACGAAAAAGTTGTCGTAAAGTTTATTTTTTGTTCCGTCATTCTTGTTTCTTGCTTCTTTTGTTTTTTCCGTGTAATTCTACAAATGAAATATGAGGAGTGTAAAGTGTACGTGGATCAAACCCTTATCTTGAAATATAGAGAGACATTTTCTCATCGACCCTCGACTTAAAGATATATTTTTTTTCATGTTTGTTTGATCAAAATATTTTAGAATACAAATTTCTTAAGGATAAGGAAAATAATTACCTCTAACGCGAGGATGCAAATAAAGTTTTAGAAGTATCACTCAAAATTGATTATCTTGTCCTAATCCATCCAACATCTCCAACCCCCACATCTTGACAAATCTCGATCTCTGACTACCACTGAACCCATGTTTTGTTATATTATATAAAAATATTTTTGAGATAATATATTTTTTTATTTACTTACCAACACTAGACAATAAGTAAGAAAACCACATATTTTTCGGAACAAACATTTTCTTTCATACCAAACAAACCCTTAAATATATAATTATTTTATTTTATTTGGTTGATGAATCCTAGCCGTTCGATTTAGACATTTATGATCTGTTTTTTCCTTGATGAGATCTCAGCCGTTGAAGTTGGACATTCTTGATTTTTGGCGCAACTAACGCTATGTGTATTGTCGGGGAAAAGATCAAATAACGAACCCAACTAACTTTCATGTAAATTTTAGAGGATTTGGAGGGTATTTTAGGTAAATAAGTATTTTTTTATGCTCGAGTAGTATTATATTATCATTGCCGGAATAAAAAATTTTACTATAAAAAATCAAAATATAAAAAATAAGTACACGAAAGAAAGCTAAAGAGATTAAACATTTTGTATATATACATAGATAGATAGATGACATAATTTTCTGATAAATAAGTATCAATTGAGTTCGATTCAAATATTTAACTTTATAAATCAGAATACCATTAATTAGTCCACTAATAACTTGATTCACTTGCTTAGAATTTAATTTATATTTTATTCAATAAATTTCTAAATACATATATAAAGCGTGAGTGAATGTTACTAGACTCGAACTTAAATACATAAACTATTTTGCATATACGCCCCTAATAATAAGTAACACTTGATAACTTAGCTTGAAAACATATATTTAAATAATAATTTATATTAAGCTATACTAATAATATCAACAAATTCTATATTGTCTTATTATTTTGAAATTAGGTTTCAAAAGTTTGAAAACAAATCTCAAGGCATGTCCAAAATAGTCAACATTTTTGGATCTTCATAGGTATGTTGGGACAACATCATTGGAAAATGAAAGAGATCTTGTCTCCTTTAATTTTCATTTTTTGGAATGCTAATTTTCAAGTAAAAAAACAAAAACAACGATAATAACATATTTCGTGTAATTTCATATAGTAGAGTTTGAAGAATTACAAATGTACATAGATTTTACCATTACCTTAGAGATAGAAAAGTTATTTTCAATAGATCCTTGGCTCAAGAAAAAACAATCAATTTTTATTTTTAATAAAAATTAATGAACAAATTATTGGTTCATGAATGGGATTAATTAAGATGAAAAAAAGTTTATATTAGTTTCTTGATAGAATTTCTAGAACAATGAATATCTTGTTATACAATGCATTTAGCTAATAAGTAGGATTAATTAAGACCAGATTCATCATCATGAGAAATTACATGTGATATGTTTTTAAGTTAATTACATGAAACTTCTGCTATTTATACATAAATAATATTTAAAATGGCTTAATTATATTCAAATTTTGTATCTTATAGTACATTGCATTTATCTAGTGAGAACAAAATAATTAACATTTGTAAAATTATACGTGGCATTCAGACTAGCTTGTGTGCCCATCTCGACTCTTCCTAGCACCAAAAATTGCAGAAAATGACACTAAAAGGGATGGTCTTCAATATTTAGCCGTCGTTAATAATTTTTTTGAAAAAAAAACATTTGTTATTCGTTGAATTAATATATATGTTTTAATTGTATTGTACGTACAATAAGTTAGTTTTCCCTACGACGCATAATTTATAAGCAATTTAATAAAGAATGATGATTTATAATCAATTCATTCTGGTAGTTGTACTCATAAAACCAACCAAATTATGAGCTATTAATTAATTAATAATCTCTTCCAAGCTAAGATCCCATTTAAAGTTACTAACCATAAATCATTTTTCACATATCCAATCACACAAGTGAAGGGAGGAGGGAAGTTAATTAAGTACTAATAGTTACCTAATCATGTTTAACCATTATAATTAGATTTTTTTTGGTATTGCCTGCATGTTGATTAACGATGTAAAAATATTTATCTAATTAGATCACTTGTTAGATAATTTCAGATAAATATCTTGATAAACGTTATACAATTGATAATCTAACAAAAATGCTGACTTATTTATCAATGCTGCGGAGGTGGAGTAAAAAAATGAGATTTTAAATCCATTTGAGTTACTCAGTTTTAAATTTATAATTTATATATATTAATTGAATGTTTCAAAATTTGAACTAAAATGACTAGATTCTACTGAACCCGCTTACCTATGCTCTAACTTTATTTTTATATTAACCTTATACATACACTATATTTAACCGATGAAAGAATCTAAATTCAAATAATGTTACACAATAATTTTTTTTAATAATATTAGTAGTATATATAACTTAAATCTATTTAGTATTTATCTAAATATCAATCATTAAAGGAATTGACTCAATGATACAGTCATAATCAATTAGGAGGTTCTTGACTACGTACTTATTTGGTAATTAAGACCCTAATTTTGAATATACTTTTGTTTGGACTCTTGAAAAATAAATTCAAAGAAGTCAACCTTTATTTTTATTATTTTATTTTGAACACTATATTCTTAATTTTTTTTTATAATTTATCAAATATATAAAAGTTATGATCACCTCAAGCGCAGTAAAACAAAATTGTTATGACTATTCTATTAATTTTTTTTTAATTTGACCTATTGCAGATTGGACCAATCTACTACATGCTAATGATAATCTTTTAAATTTCATCTCCAATAAAAATAGCAAGTGGATGTTGATTTTAATTTTTCTAGTCTACCTTTTATTTGGATTAAGTCAAAAGAAAACAAAAGTACATGTATAATTTAGTAATTATAATCCAAATTGTAAATATCATCTAGATTTTGTGGAAATAAAATCCCATGTGATGGGGAAATTGAGCTAGAATTAGAAGTCCCTCGTGTAAAGAAAAATTTGAAGTTTATAAAGAAATAAAAAAAAATGTGCCACTAGTATATATTCTTATTATTTTTAAAGAGGTAAGACATATTTAAGAATAGTATTTCAAATTCTCTTATTTTACTAATGTGTTTCTCAAATAATGATATATTAGGTGTTTTTTTTGTTAAGTGTCTTAATCAATTTGCATGCACTTAGATTATTTTATCGAATTGATATCTACTACTTTTCAGTAATAGAAATATCGAATAACTCTGTCACTAAAACTTAAGTAGATAAAAATAAGAGATCATGTGACCTTTTTTGTTTGTCACTATTGTAATTTAGTTTGATACTGCTACTACAAACTAGTTAGAAAAGCACTTGTCAAAACTATTTTTGATGGACTTCTCATTGAAAATTTGATTGATATTTAGTAGCGTCACTCATTTTATTAACGGATAGATCACACCATGTTACGTCAAATTTTTAGGCATTTTGCACAAGCAAGTTACAAATTAAACAATTGAGTGTTTTCTAATTTAAAATCATGATTTTGTTTCATTTTTTTGATAAATTAAACTTTAAAACATGTGCATTAAGTATTAATTAATCAATGACAATGACGCATAATGCCCGCATGCATAGCTGGTTATTGTTCATTTGCTTCCTTTAGAAATTAGATTCGAACCTTTACTTGGAAAATCTACAAAAAGAAAAAAAAAACTTTATATTATAATAATAATAATTGGATATGTTGAGTGAATTGTGAAAATAAAATTGGGGAATTGTTTATTTAACTAATTTGATAATTATGATAAAATTATGACTGTAACACTAAGTACAAAGTATTTCTTTTACGCCATTTTATGTAACATAGTAATTTGATTTAGCATAAAATTTAAGATATTAGTATCATTATCCGACTTTCAATTAATAACCAAGAAGAAATATATCTTTTAGAATTTTTTGATGTTGGACTATTCATTTGAGATAGTCTTTTTCTAACTAAAAATTATTGAAATTGTATGGCACTTGAAAAACGCTATGTGAATAAAATTTTTTTCTTAGTTTGGTATATGAAAATGATGTTTGCCAAAAGAACTTTAATTTTCATTAATTAATAATATTATAGTAATAAATCAGCATGAAAAATTTGGGAATTATGAAATTGATGTTGAATAATATATTTTTCCCCGCTAATTATGATCTCTCTTTTGTTTTTGACTCCTTATGTTGATTAAGACCCTTATGCTTTGGCTCCTCATTAAAATTTTGGAAGTTTATGTTATGTGCTTTAATAATATAATTTATTTTTATTCTTATATTAATAATTTGACTTGTTATAACATGCAATTATTTGTATTCAACTTGATATACCAAAATCTTTTTATTACTATTTCAAGTTTTCATTTTTTTGCATCACTAGTTCTAAACATATATTACGTTCCATAGCTTTTAGTTTTGAAGTATAACAAGTTATTTATACGACGAGACAATATGAATTAAAAC